ACAAAATGAGGTCAACTAGGTCCATATGGGTACAAATGCCTACACGGACCTACACAGAATTCCTGACCAACAGGGATTTATTACGAAATCTTTTGATAAACTCGTATTACAACAGAGTTGGTTTTAAGAAATTTAACACACTGGTTTCATTTCATTAATTTGATTAACACAGTAAGAAGAGAAAGGCAGTGGGATGTTGACATGACAGTTTTGTCTCTTCAGCTACAGTAGCAGAAATCATCAGTTCTCTATCATAAATCGGAGTAAATAGGAATGAATCATCGACAGCATGACATCAGTGTTCAGCACCGATGTTTCGCTGCCGTATAACCATGATTTATTTGAAAGCCTTATTGTGAAGAAAACAGTAAAGGTGGTGTAGTGTCTCCAACCAGGCACTGAGAATCACGCGTTCCCCATCCTGGAAGGCGAGTAGCACCGACAGCACCCAAGCGTTTCGTGATCCCCTTCATACACCTTTGTCAAGTCAAGGGTTGGCCACCTCTCTGTTTACGCCACTCTAGATTGGGCATGGAAATCAGCGCACTCCTCGGTAAACGATGGTTCGGCATACGCAACACATGTCCCCACCAACGCACCTTCCTGTGCTGGATACATTCTTCAACGGAAGTACCCGTTGCACAACCGAAAACGCGCTTTCTAACTGCCTCGTTAGGGATTCGCCGACACCAACCCACACGAGCTGTTTCTGAGACAACGGTTGTCGACCTCGAAACACTCATTTGGGCAATCTGGATAGAAAATGACTACAGGATCGCCACTGACATCGCTTAGAAGACATATCTTGCAGCGTCTCCAACCAAACGCAGTCCCCAATATGGAAGGCGAGTAGCACCGACAGCACCTGAACATTTGGTGATTTCTTTCGTACCTCTCTGCCAGGTCAAGGGTTGAGCACCTCTCTGCTTCCGCCACTCTGAGTTGGGCATGGAAAACGGCACTCTCTTCGGCAAACGATGGCTAGGCATACGCAACACACGTCCCAATCAACGCAGCTTCTGGTGCTGGACACATTTTTCAATGGAAGCATCCGTTGCACAACCGAAAATTCGCTTTCTAACTGCCTCGTTACGGATACGCCGACACCTACCCACGCGAGCATTAGTTCTGAGACTACGATTGTGGAACGCCTGAAGGCGTCTCAGTTCCGCTGCCCGGACAGGCCAAGTCTCACAGCCACACAACCTCCTGGGCAGGTAATAGGAATGAAACAGCGGAACGGAGCAAGCCGAGTCGAGGGTGCCAGTCAGATTAGATTTTTAAGTCCAAGACAAACTGGTAGCTTGTCTCAAATTCTTTTGTGCACTAAGGATAGGTCAGTACTAAGTAAGCAACATGGCCCCACTGAAGACCAAGTTTCCCAGTGGACGTTGAAGAGTAACATTCCGAAAGCTGTATTGAGATCAACTCTGTGAGCAGTGGATGGGACAAGTTCATTGCTTAATGGAGCAAGTTTTCAATTCTCTCTTCCCGGGTCAACAGTCGATTGATTGGCCAGCTGACTTAGATACTGAGGCAAAGGCTCTGAGACGCATTCGCGCAAGCTCCTACCTGTCATGCTAATGTATATTTAACCGCAGATGCATGCCAGATGATAGTCAATGTTTGAGACTGAGATTCTGGGTACAATACACAGTGTTTTATTGATACCTATTACTAGTAATTATACGAAATTGGTGGATTTCAGTGTTGCGGGTGAAAAGATAACAAGATGCAAACATACCTATACATCTATCTTCCGGTTGTGTTATCCAACCGCGCAATGTTGATGTATTCTTGAATGGTGACAAAACGCTTGCAAGTCAGTTGCCAAGCTCAGCGCACGTAACAATAACCACCTGATCGACAGCCAATAAACTCACATAATGTCATCCATATCATCTTCTCGTCCACGCTATGGCGTCTGACGTTTCTACAGTGGTTGTCTAAGTAGGCAAAATCCAAGTCGATGATTCAGTACAAGGGCATCTATCCCAGTGTTGAATTCCATTCACGCATAGTGTCTAGATTCATATCAGGTTTCACAGTGTATCAGACCTATGTTGCCATCACCATTATCTTATTCCCAAAGGAACTCTTTGAATTCAAGATCCCGTTCGCAATCTTTCGGTGCAGTTCCGTCAAAGTCAACCACATGTCTTCCGGCCGCTTTGTCACCATCCAGGTCGTCCATTTAACATGATCACTTTTTGGTTCCCCCCGGGTACCAAATCGATTTGCGAGAATTCAGCTGGGCAAAAAAACGATTCAAAGGACATCATGATGAAAACCACAACACTGATTGGTATCTGTACACGCACGTGCATAGACCCTCCCTATACAGTACATCAGACCTTCCTGTCAACCCGCCTCTTCACGAAGAAGTGGGCTTTTAAGTTGCGAATGCGGGTAGCGTTATTGCGCCCACAGTGTGCAGGCATCGTCTGCTCTGACCATGATTTCCGGCCCACTGAGCAGTCTACACGAGACAGGCAGGCACTTTCGCATCCAATTCGTGGGAGAAGATGGCGAACCGAGCCTGAGTGCTAGTCGGATTGGATAAGTGAGAGCGAACGCATGCTTGGCCACGAGAGTAGAGTTCCGGCTCAAGCGTCAGAACAAAAACATTCAACTAACGACCCGCATCCGGTGGTAGGTAACAATGTGTGAATTGTTGCTGGTAGTGGGAAAAACCACGATGCCGGTTACCTTCCTCCAGTGCTTGTAAATGCGGGCTGACCGAGGGAATAAAGGAAGCAGCCTTCTGGTTCCATGCTTATTTGGAACGCTAAGCAATATCACACAATAGCGAAATTTCCAAATAGACGACAATCCATAGGAAGTAATGAAACTCAAATGCTTGTCCGAAGTAGCTGCGGTGCCGAGAAGCTACTCACCTCACAGACATCGGCTTGAACACAGAATCCCGATAACCGAAATGGGGAATCGACGCCTGTTTATTTCAAATTCTAACTAGTATGATTGCGTGCTATCTTACATAACTTTTTTGTTCGCAGCGCTTCACGCGACACATTCGTGACTTATTTGACCTTGACTGCCTGTACCCTCTGGTTCGAATTGAAACAATCCATGTGCGGCACACACTGCAAACGTACCTGCATGTAGGAAAACCGAACAAAGTTCACACACCAAACAATACGTACGTTACCCGACTCGGTGTCTAGCCGCGCACGAATTACGGCACGCAATCAGGAAATAGGTGTAGCTGCAACAACGGCGAAAGAAACACGAAGCCTGCGTCCGGACGGACAGCAGAAGCTATCAACTTGTGCCCTCAATACGATAAGTTCCTACTCATAAGGTTGCTGAAAATTCTTCGACAGCTTAGAAACATCATAAACGAGAGATTCGGCTGGGTCTCTCGCAAAACCAAATTTATTTACAAATGAGAATATTACGCCAAGTCCATCTTTTGTATATTGAGATCATTTAAGTTAACAAGAACAGTCTCAGTACTCATCGCTTTATGTTTATTTGGCCAATTTTTTGGCCACATTAGAGAATTAACCAGATCACCGCGCATTTCAGGTTCAACAAACCCATCGAGTTAACGGGTATAGCATTCCTCGGGAGTTAAACATCACCATACAGCTAAAAGCAACTACATAGTAGCATATGAGCATTTTGATAATCCAATTTGAAATACAGCTCTGAGTTTGAATCACTACGTAAGGCTTTGGTGGACTGGTTACGCTAGATACCACCCGGAAGATGCATCATTGTCCACAAGCTTCAAATCCTTTGCTGTAGACAGTGAAGCTTAAAAAAGGTGGCATGAGCAAGTGGTTCGCAATCAACACTGCCATAGAGTCCACGAAGGCATTCTTTGTCGACAGCTTGCAACAGCTCCGTTTTTCAATGACGGTCTTTCTTGGGAGTGGATCAACGCCAACCTTTAACGAGTGAATCAGGAAAACTAGCCTTGCTACCTAGACGAACGCACTACTCATACGACTGCTGAAAATTCTTCGACAACCCACGAACAGATTCCGCTTCATGAGAATCATCAAGTAGGCGCCGTCCCCGAGTTTCTGACAAACCTACGTTCTACTCGAACCCCAATTTTACGAAATTAGCAAAATACGCTCAACTGAGTGCAAGCTGAATCTCTCGTCTACAATATTCTTCAACTGGATGTGGTGCACAGGCCTGCTTCATGTTTTCAGATGTAGTACACTCTCTGGACGGAACTTACTACTCTTAAGGTTGATGTCGAGAAGCTTTCAGCAACTACATATGAATTCTTCGACATCAACCTTATGAGTATGGCGTTCCGTCTGGTGTGCTGCGATATCTCGAACACCAACTGAAACATGAGGCGACCTTATGCAGCACGTTCATTTGAAGGACATTACAGACGGAAGATTCAACTGGATTCATTTAGGCCTCTCGCAAAAACCAAATTAGTAACCTTGCTACCTTTTGTTTACACAACCATCTTCTCGGTTTGTGAAATTATCAATCCCTAGATTGTTCCAAAGTACAGGACTAATTAGTTCACTCACCCTCTTATGAAGCGGGCGGAATCTTTCTATCTGTAGTTTTTACATTTCCGACAATCTGAGAGATCTTCTCACTTTCTTCGTTTGGTTTTGTAACCATGATTCTCAGGGATACACAGGCAACTCAGAATTGAAGATTTCCGGACTCAAAAATAGAGTTGTGCGATTCTGGTGAATCAGTTCTCAGGCATGGACATATACAGTTCGGTTTCAGTTATTAACAATCAACTGGCGGGCTCATTTGCAACCTATCGGTCCTTCTGATTGTGTTTGAGTTTGGTTGACCATCAACAGCAAATGAGGAAGAATCAATAGAATGAGAAGAGTCAACAGAATTCGCAACGGATTGATCTGGAGCCTCAAAATATATGTGATACGTAGGATCCAAGTGAAATGGAAAACTCTCCAGGCTCATTAGAGGCATCATGAGCTGACCCTATTATTTTTATTACAATACCAGTGACTGGCTTTAGACTATTAACTAGGTAAGTGGCTGAGATGACTTGGAATGCCACGAATAGGAGCGCGGATCCCTGACATGCGAGCGGTTGGTCTGACATTAAGCAAAACTACTTCTGAAATCAATGACCGGTGTCGACTTGACTGGACTCTTTTCGTCGGGCGGTCTGAATCAGCGGCCAAAGTGAATGAGTAAATTTGAAGTTCAATATCAGTGGTAAAATATAACTCTGATGCACACACGTTAACCACAGAAGGTACATCTCTCGAGAGGTATTTTATTTCCGGGGGACAACTGTCTGGTTCTTCTTCCTGACGTTCTGCTCGATTCAAATTGCTGCTGTTAAACACGATACTGGAATCTAGTTGAAGTAAAAATTGAGTTCTGTTCATCGGTTTCTGCTTTTCTGGATGTAGTAGCATCTCACAACTGCCCACAGCGAGCTCCAACTGTGGAGCGCTAGTTAAATAGTGACGTGTAGCACGTTCGGCTGCTCGGAAAGCTGCATAGTTGACGTGCATAACTGAAACTGATTTGAGCCACACGGAATCCACTATGATAAGATAATTAGGGTACGCGAGGTTCTTTCTGTAAGAAGCTGGTGTATCTCCATGCGTCATGCCCAGTTTTCGAACCTCCAGTGTCTTGTGCATGGAAATCTGTAGTCGAGAATGAATACTGAACTGTAAGGGCCTATCTCATCAATCCTAATGTATAAGCACATCAAGCATGGTCTCCACACACACCACATTGGGCTACTTATTTTGCAAATAAGACACCTTGTTGGAGTTTGAGATATCCCAACCAATGACCGGAAGGTTAGTGGTTCGAACCCAACTTCAGCACATCGACTGCTCCAGTCTAGGCTTGGACAAACTTGCATTGTCGAAGACCTTGTGATCACTTCGAGTTTAACGATAGCTATGCACAAAAAGGGTGTCACGGCTGGAAGTTTGTTCCCAATACGCACTTACAAGTCGATTATATTTGGTCGTCTCGAGGAGCTTACAGATGAATGTGACCTCTTTACATGGAATTTTCTAGAGGTGTATGAAAGACTGACAGCTAATAACGTCCATAACGTCACATTTCTAACAACAATATATCCGTGAGCACATACCTAATACCCACATACACGTCTTGGAAAGTTTGACTGGAACTGTAGGAACTCGACGAGGAAGGCAACAGAAACAACAGCCTTGAAGTGATGGTATTGATGATCAAACCCGCCTGAGCCTTTCAGTGGAATCGGATGCGATCTCCCACGACGATGGTGTTTGGGGCTCATGTTTCGTAGCTTTTCGACCAAAAAGTGAACTCTGACCACATCCAGTTCGTCTCAATGACTTTCATTTTGCCTTTCAGTGAACCAGATAGTGGGTTTTGCTGCATGTTGCCAGATGACTGCAGTCCTCAAATACAAACACGGCATACTGTACCTTTCTGTCCCGCAAACTGTACTCCCTTCTAAGAAACCTGGGTTCACAAACACCAATTAGTTCCATGCAAAACGGATGCTATTCTACGCCACCGCAACTGATGAGCAGAAAATAGGTTGGTTTCGAGAGAAACAGGTGGCATCAACTGCTAGTGACAACCGATTGCTCTTGAGATCTACATGTGGATGGCTGCGGCTGATCCAAAGTTCTCACAGATTTTTATCGGGCAAATAGAAGGACGTCAAGTCGTTTAGTCACAGCTGGTTCAGTTGTTCACACACATATGCAAACAAATCCCTATGTTGCCTCCCGGCTTGCAAGATACAGATGGGGTATGTGCAATCCAATATTGAGCGGATTCGAACGTGTGATCTTCAAGGCCTTCGCTGTGGCAGGTAGTAGCTGGCTGTGGCGCATTGGCCATGGAGTGGTGCGCGCGAGAGCAGAAAATGCTTAGCATGGTTAGGGCATGCCCATACGTATACCTAGCCAGAGTATACCAAAGAAAGCAGACTTCAACTCTGAATCCTTGTTGGCAAAAGGCTCTAGGGGGACAACCCATGACTTGGCAATGTGAAGCGAAAACGGTTACTCCCAAACTTTGCCGTAGGGCCCTCGCACTTTCCTGGTTGAGGCCCACGTGGTTAGAAACCTACAGGGCATGGCATGAAACCAGTCCCGGTGGTGACCATGAAGATACCTTCTAGTCGGAACACCCGGCTAAATTTTATCTGTCGTTGTATGCTAAGCTCATTTTAGCCGAGGTTCGTAAAGGACGCTGGATCGATCACAATCAACAAGATTCTCATATTCGTTCACTTCGTGGGTATTCCCAGTCGTTTCGTCCCAACCCATTCTTTCCGCTATATATTGTGATGCTCGTCCTCATGCTTGTATAGGGAACAAGAATCAGTATTCGCGGCTGATTTATCGTTGATGATGATGAGTCCGAATGCTGGACAACTTATCAAAATGATGCCACAGATGGGTGTTTAAATGGTTGCTATAGAACGGGATACCAGCTGCCTCCTTGTAGTGACTGACTCCGACGTACATGCACCTGGTAGGCTTCTTCCGATAGCGCTGTTATGTGAGGTATCATCAACTGTAAGAACCGCGTACCTGCTGTACAGTGGTTGTAGCTGCCAGTTTCGCTCTCCGATGGTTTGAAAAGGTAGTGGTTAGTATACATGAAACACTCAACTATTTGTTGAGCGGGATAAGGTAACCAAGATGTACTACTGGTAATCTACAAACTTCATTCCGCTGGCAGGTTGTCTGTCGCATGATTGCTTGGACAGTAGTGGTCTTCCATCCGTTTCAGAAAAAAATGGAGGGTAGGAAAACGGCCTTTGAGGAGGAGCGGTCTGAGTAGGCGAGGATGATAGTGTACGCACCATACGGTCAAAACACACTTAGATCAAAGGTATTCCCAGAAAATGCACAATCTACCATGCACGGAAAACGAAGAAGCCAAAGTAGTTATTGAACTGTCTTTTTTCCTGCAAAATGGACTGTCACTGGAAATAAAAAATCAATAAGAACCATCGTCAAGAAAACGTAAAAAAATATCTAAACACGGGGAGAAAGTTTGGAATCCCGGCAAACCACCTATAGGCTGTTAAGTAAAGCTGACAAATCGGGAAACCTGTAGCGCCGCTTTGGCCTCCGATCAACATACTGCACATCATTTTGAAGCGACACAACAGCATGGCGTTTCCTGCAGCGCCATGAGTGTCGCAACCGTTCCCAGAGTCCGACAGCCATAAGGTCGATGCGTCTGTCGGCTGGTGTGTCTTTGCTCATTCGAGGCTTCCATTCTCTGTAAACAAGGCTAAATGGAAAGGACAGGTGACACAAACAGACCATTAAACATCGGGCAGAGGAATAACCAGAACACCCTATATTTTGAGGAAGTAATTAAATTAGTTTAGCAAGTCCAGCGAGTTTTTAAAGTCAATAATTGCACCAGCCAAGCACCGTGGATAACCAATGGGCCAGCGAGATGTTAAACGAGGCATTGATGAGTGACACCGTCAATACCATTGTCAACGTGTTACGATTCAAGAAATGAAGGACAATTATAAGTATTCCACCCACTTTAAAAGGGATTGAACTGGCTGTCAAGGAGTAGTTTATAGAGAACTGAAATGAGCATGCCTAGAGTTGAGAAGTTCAATCACAACCTCTCAGTTACTCCTGTGGTATGTTTTAAAACAGATGAAATGAGGATGTTTGAGCAAAAAGGCTCAGAAATCATAGAACATCTGAAAAAGCCTGAAAAGTGAGAGGAATGTGTGCATCACTATTGCTTAGTTCCACCAACCTCGAAAGACCCGGGACTTTCTAGTCACAAATGCCCTGCAACTGGACGTTCTGGCCATTTTCCACTTTCCTTGATACATTGATTTCCCGAACTTCACAGGACTTATCACACTTCTGAACTTGTGTACTTGCGCATTCTCATAGCGTTTGTCTTATATCACATCACTTGAGTGTTTGAGCTCAATGCAATTTGCATCTTGATTCTCGCTTATTTGAAGCCGAGTAAAATAGTTCGAGGAACAGAGGTGCTATAGTCAACACAGTGAACTTGAGCTCTAAAAACGGTTCATTTCAGGGTTCAGGAGAACTATAGGGCAGAAGTAGAGAAGTAAACCACTCCTGCTTCATAATTATGACCTATAAAGGACACAACGCAATGTTATTGTAATTATCAGGCTCTACTTGAGAAAGAAAATGCAGGGCGATCCACTCACAGCCAGAATCGTAACAAATTTAGAGTCCATGGGTTGTTTCACCAATATAGACGTGCTACTGAGTGCCAAAAAGTAGTTAAAAGTGATTGAATGAGTGGTAGTCCAGGCAACAGCCACATCATTTATCAGCTTCCGCTGACTTGTGCTTTTATGACAACCTCAACAAAACTTTGTTTGCATGGTTCAAATTCTCTTTCACTAAGAGAGCATGGAAGAAATTTACTTTTCAGCGGTTTTAGGAAAACTGGCGACCTTATTACCTTCACAATTAAGGCTAGCTTGATTAACGACGTTACGGGTGTTTGACAACAATAAATGGTCAGTCATCAGAGTGATGTGAAGAGCTAAATAACTTCAAAAAACTCCCAGCCGAGAAGTTGCCACTCGAGGAGGCAGTAAATACGCCATCACGTTATGTGGTTTCCGTGATAGAAGGACGAGTGGCGCCATAGCCTGTCAAAGTGCTAATTACTCCAGATGATGATCAGCCGATCGTGGTCAAACAGTTAAGTGCTCAAGCTACTAGCAGGAAGGTCACGGATTTGAGCCCCCCCAGAGTTTGTGGGATGAAACAGAAGTACGGTTCTTCTAGACCTTTCAGTGTAGATGGGCTTCACCTAAAAGACGAAATCTCCATTAAAAGTCAGTGAGGCACCAGAGTGGCCGGTTGAAGCACGACGCATTGTCAAATCAGTTGTTAAATCAGTTATTAAATACACTGGACAGTCTTGAAGCGCGCCAGAACCCAACTCGGACACTGGTGTTTTCGCTCCGTAGACCCGAGTGCAAGTTTTTTAAAAATCTGAGTAACACCTTCTGGCTAGAGCTTGTAGGTTATCGGGTAACCGTCAGCTGTTAAAACAGCTCATGGATGTCCCTCTGAATAGATTCATAGGTTTTCTATAGATGAAAATGTCGGTAGCTCAGGTAGCGTAGATAGTGGTCGTAGCTACGCACTACTACGCTCCCAAATAACGCACTGATGATGTCACCTCGATTGGTGATGAAACGTTTGCAATCAAATTGCCCAGCTCAGATTCGTAGGTTGCTCGCAAGTCAATTAAATTGTGTATTGGTGGGAGACGAAGTCCAAGGGTTCAACACAGAATGAATAAACTGATCTGAGTCTTGCTTGGTTCGGACCGCTCGCATTCTTTCTCTTTCACACATTTGTTCTTCTCGCACTCTTCACTCCGATGATGGGGAAGTTGTAGGCCCATTCGTAAGGACTGACAGATCAGTTCGCCGCCCATTACTGTTAGCTGTCGGTTGACTCGGCCGTAGTCATTCTTAAGACCTCGACGTTAAGTTCATCTGGTAGACTTTAGTGTTCGAACTCTAAAACAAGCCAGGCTACAGACCACTCTTGTGTGTACGCAGTACTCGCTTTCTATTGATTTGAGCTATCTCTACGAAACGAGGATTCGAGGCCCAAGTACGGTTGTTGAACTGACCTCCCGTTCGGTTTCTTCTCGCTTCCGGTTACACACATCTGGCGATTCAGAAGCCGCTGCGAAGGGTTGTGTTAGGGCTGGGATTGTTTTAAGCCATCGAGCTTAAGGGTTTCTAGTTGCATGGTTGCCCGTTTAGCAACGCCCGCGATAGTACCCCATAAACGCGCTGATAATCGCTGCCGGTACATCGTATCTGCCTACGTTGCAATTGTGTGCTGACCGCAGACTGTATCTGATTGGGAATAACTTTTAAACAATCGAAGCCGCTTGGCCGAACGCGAGTGAACCTCCAACATGGACAGACCACATCGCCATTAGCTATAGGTGGCGTGGATAAATTACTGATCGTCATTCGTTCTGGAACACCTATGTGAATCCGAATCACGCGCTTCTCAGGGGCGTGCTAGATTCGCACACATCACCTGGCTATTGACGTGGAACAAGTCTAACGGGATCGTCTACCGAAATCCCTTTCAGCCAATGCGTTTTCCGATATTGACTCATACTACAAGGCACTGTCCGTAACCCTGCAAGGTTTTGGCTGCTCCACTTGTTGAATGGCAAAATCAACTACATCTGGGCATTGAGTCTCGAGCAGCACCCTCACATTGTTCGAAGGACTAATCCTCCTAGTCAAGTGTACAACACCACTGGACGAACTATCAAACTTTAGGTGACAAGAAGAATCTGTAATGATCCAGAAAAATGAAGAAGTAGAGAAAGCGAGAAACTCTGGGATTATGTGTAAACTGTTTCAGAGCAAAAGACGCAAAGAGGTCTCTGGTGGGTGAAACAAGTACTGATAACTATGGCTCGTCTATTTCTAGAAAAGGACAGCACCTGAATCGTCGCGTTGAACACTTTCAATAACAATTCAACTGATCACCTGCAGTTGCTCAATCGCCCTCCCAATAAGAGGATTTATACACTACAGTCAACATCAAACGAAAAATTGTCTGAGAATAGCTCTCTTCGTGTGGTTTCCGTCTAGATAGATCCTAGTAGGCGGTCATCGTCAATGCAGCCAATTTCAGCACACGTAATGTCGCACCACACACTCATGCATACCTACATCGTTAGTTCCTGAAAATACAGGGCTAGTCGGACAAACGAGGCACCGGCAATAATTGATCCGATCCTGGAAAATCCTGATGAGCAGTGAATAGCCACGGACGCGCCTCCTGAAACGCATAAGCCGTCGCGCGGTTGCAGTACAATCTCAACGCTGGCAGGGCAACAAGTGACGCCGACGCAAATTCGAATGAAAAAGTGAGAACCAGAGTCAATGAAGCGGAGCGAGCGAAAGAATGACATGCGACACGTGGGCCTGTTCTCGTGTCAACTTATGCTTCATACTTTCACGGATGATGACACACCAACCATTAGGTTTGATACATTGAAAAAGCTTTGGGAGAGTGGAAGATTTGTTCTGACACGACGATGAAATCTGAACAACTGAGCGATTGGAGAGGTCGGGATAGTGAAACTAAAAACTCATACATCAAGTGTACAAAATTTATTCGTACCTCGAATACAAGCATATAGTTAGACTGCCTGCGTTGTGAGCTGCCTTCTGATAAATCATTCTATGCAGGCAAAACAGAATGTTGGGAATGTTAGCTTAAATTTGGTTGCAAAGTTGATCAAGGAGTCATAGGCCACAGACTAAGGACAGATAACCTGCACATGAGGTAGTAAAATGATTAAATATGTATTTTCTATCTACACAGCCATGATTAGGTTGATTTTTCTTAAGTGCGCGGAATTATGTGTGAAGTTTACTTTGAACAGTCAATCGAAAACAAATTTGAATGCGTTATTTCAACTTTTTTTCTAGATAGGGAGGCAAATGTTTAGTTTGGTACTTGTCCGGAAATAGGGTGGAATCACTTGAAGATAGTTCTCCTCAAAAATGCGTTTAGTGAAAGAACTAAATATAGATCGGGGGCGAGATGGACCAAGCGGTTAGAGCGCGAATTTACTGACCGGAAGGTTCGTGGTTCGAACCCGACCTCTGTCTCTCGACTCCCCCTGTCTAGGCTTGGGCGACCTAACAGTATACCAGTCCTTGTGTTTCATTCGTGAGGCATGGCAGCTAGGTACCGAAAGGGTGCTACAGCTGGGCGAGTTTATTTTTTAAGATAATCAAAGCTCTGCACACGAAAACTTTATTCTTGTTGGGGTACCATGATAAATGACTCGGGAATATGGCGACTCCCTCTGGGGTCAAATAGACCCGAAACACCAGGAAAGGTGGCCTAAGGGTCAATTACCCATCGCTCAACAAGTGAACGAACTGCCTGCACATGCACCGCGTACACATCAAGCAACTAGACATCTAAGAGGAACATAGTTTCCAGGGTATCAGTCTTAGTCACGAAGAGCAATAAATGATGATAGTTCAGCTGTAATACCCTTTCGTGTCTAGCTACCATGCCATCTGAAGTATGCACGAGGGCTGAGATACTGTCATCTTGACCTAGCATGGGCAGAAGTAGTCCAGATGCCAAGACTGGGTTCGCACTACGGACTGTTCAGGCTAAGTTCAACCCTTAAACACTGAGGTATCTCCAGCTCGAAGAATCCTACTAGTTTAGGTTGATCTGATTACCGGAGAAGTCTTAGCAAGAGAGACTTACCGTAAGAGCCTCGCGGACGTCCGTAAAAACCCGCGCTGTAGCAGGCTTTGTGCAAACCAAAGTTTGGCTTTGGCTTGTATTACTGGCGAGCCTATCTCCAAGGCAAGCCTCAGCTGCATAAGCGATATCTTGCCAGCCACCTCAGCCTGGAGGCAACGTGACAAAAATAATGACAAAAACAACGTACTGCGCCCGCACAATTGTCTCCAAGCGAGGAAAACCCACCTCCTAGGGTACAGAACCAAACCATGGCTTCATCCAGAATGATATGCTTGGTCAATCGATCTGTCACTATGTTTGTACTAATAAATGTGAAGTAGTTCGTGGAAAACCTACAATAATTTGTGGTGGATATGTCGAAGTATGCCGGAACAAAAGAAGATACAAGGTAATTGTTCGGAGAGTAGAAGGACGCGCCGAAATAACCGTCTGAACCGAAGGAGTTTAAGACTCTCCGATAAGTAGACAAAGGCTTCAACGGACAATGGGATCGAACGCGACCTTTCCGAATTTGGATGCACAATGGGGCTCGTGCAGAGGTAGTTGGGACCATATCCCTCAACCTTTAAGCCAACTCTTTTGATGGGTAGAACCCGACATTTGGAGGTAGGGGTGCACCAAACAACTAGGAGCATCGACACTCAGTTCGGTGGTTGGGGTCACGTCGGAAGTCCAAGGGACGGAAAAATATCCCTTTTCTTGAAAACGATTTCGGCTGAAATGGGAAAAAGTGGAAGACAGGTACACTTGTCCCTTAAAGAACAGAATGAAGGTGGTATTCACAAAAACTGATTGCAAGGCGAAAGGGACATCTAAAACAAACAAATCTGACTTGCTATAATGAGGAACGAGGATTGAAGTAGATTGATGCGAAGTGTCAGGAACCAGAGAATCTAACATTTAGCTCAGCCAGTCTGTTTGCCTTTTGTGGATCAAAGGCAGGTTAGATTCAACCGTCGCAATCTATTCTGCTGAAAAGATGAAAAAATGACCATATATGAGAGTCGATAGTCTGCAATGCACTAACACTGAACGGCCAACCTTCCATAGGAAGTGGATGTATCAATTATCCTGGATAGTGAGCATCAATACAAGGAGCTGGCAAATGCACAGGAACTCAGTCACTAGCTCCTAAAGGATGGTAAACCCCTCGCTCCTCTTGTTACCCTAATGGGCCAGATCCGCCCAATCCAAGTCAGCCATTTTTTCTCATCTGGGCGCTTCCCTCCTCTGCTACAATATTCTCACTCTTGCATGCCCGGAATGCAAATGGTCGAGATAACCACCTGCATTAAACCCTTGATTACCGAATTGTGTTCTTATTTACCCCCAGCGTTTCACGTTGATTTCAAATCCGCTACTCCACGACTGATAGCTGCCATCTGGATGCAACAGTCGGGTTTGTGAGCGAAACTGATGGGAAATTCGTTTTGCAAGTTTCAGCCACGCATGGAATGCTAAAGTGAAGCAACCAGGCAAACAGCAGCGATACCCGTGCTGTGAGTAATCGGAAACACATGACGGTTTTAGGATGAAGCCGTCTCATCCTCTGAGGTAAGACTGTGAAAGAGGTAGAGTGTTTCCTCCAGGTGACTATATTCATGCCCATATTTATGGAAGCAAGGAAACTACGTTCTTCAAAGAAAGAACTAGTTAGCAATGTGGCACACTCCGACCATCCAACGGTTGGCCGTAACCACCTGCGCATTATTCAATACAGTCGAAATACTTTTAAAACCAGTATGTTGCTTCCCGATTTATGGAGTTGCACTATGAGTTAGACAGTCACGCCTTGCATCCTGGGGCTCGGCAAGTCCACCCCACAAAGTCAGGTTATGGAAACCTAGCTAACGACGGAGTCCTCCAAAATAAGCGTATGCTACATCGCTGGTCAGACTGTTGAGTAAGGGGCTAAGGGTAGGCTCAAGGAACAAGTCACTCAATTTTCTTACTACGTTGAGAGCCAAACTTCCTAATCGGAGGCTCTTGGTGGGGTGGCTCAAGCAACCCCTCTTCGGTCTGGGCAATTGGGAAGTAACACCTATTCATTCAGTGCAGGATTAACGGTTGGTCTCGAGTTTCCAACCCTCAACTCTAAACATCATCCTGTCACATCGTTTGCTTGTAGTTCCGTAAACTAAGTGTAGATTCCAAGCCCAGTGTGCAGAAAAATAAAGCACAAACATGTACCACTGACACCAAAGGGTCTGTGCAGCGTACCAGCGTTTTGTCTGTGCTCTATGTCGAAAAGTTGTACATACTTCTCTCACTCATACCCTTTCAACTCCAAAAATCGGTGTGCCTTATCTCTGAACCATGCGCCAAACCCCAGTGAGGTAATGAATCTGAACACGGGTCAAGGAAGCCCAGTATATTCAAGGTTTACCCTCCGAGTGTCAAATGGAAGAAAAGCGGTGTCCTTGTAGTCTCAATAGTGTGGGTATTTTGTTGACTACAATAAGCGAAGACACTGCTTGACTAGAATCCTGCGAACAGCAGACTGTGCAGTCATGTTAGTAGGGTCTGTCAGAATCTGCAATCAAACCCAAACCGGAAATTGTTTCGTTTTTCCTGCATGCACCTCATCAGGCTGCAGCAGTGACACCGTCAAAAACATTTTTAAGGAGAACTTCTGGGACTCGTACAGACTGCTAAGAGCACGGATGTTTCTGCTCTAGCTGGTTATTCGAATGCTCAGCCAGAAAAGACTGAGGACCATAAAAGCTGTCCAAAGCAGATCTGGTGTGGATGCCTCCAGAGTCGACAACGGCGATCGCCTCTTAAAACTATGCACTGATATCCGTTCATTTACCACACACCCGAGATAGCTCAATGCTTAACGGGTACGCTTGCTGCTCAGAAGGTCCGCGGTTCGAACCCAACCTCGGCATCTTGGCCTCTTTCATCTAGGCTTGGGCAATATGACAGTATCGCAGCCATCATGCGGAATGGCAGCCTGGCACCGAAAGGTAGTTACAGCTGAACGACTATTTTTATTGCCATCTATTGCAAGCACAGACTTACAGCATAGACACGAGCGTCAATTTACCAGGCACCTTACAACGAGCCGGCGACCGGATGGCGATTTTGTGTTTAGGGCTATTGCTTCTTTTGTAACACGTGTACAATCAGTCAATTCAATTTATTAGCTACAAACCGTGTACCATAGGCACATTGGTTCCAGCTGCTACAGTTTCGATCAACAGAAATTGGAAGAGTGTGGGAGATACGGACAAGTTTTGGAGGCGATGATATGTTCACTTAGTTCAGGAATTAGATACCTACGTTTTGATGCGATTGGACCATTTCTGTCAGTGTCATTGGCGAGTTGAGTTCAGGGGTCCCCAGCCAGGGAAACGGCATTCGTCGCCCCTACTAAGCTTACTGGTTGGTGTTTTCATACTTCATTGCCATGTTATACTGTCCACCTCTTGGTCGCTTCTACTCAGCCCTGGGCTGGGCGAAAAGAGATCTGCGGGTGGGAGACGGTCTTCTGGCATATGGAGTATATGCTCTGACCAGCGTAACCTATGAAGCGTGAGTAATTCATCTATCGCTGGAGAGTTCCTTGTTCCTAAGACCATCTGACGTACCTCAGAAGTGCTAATCTGATGTTCCCAACAGACATAAACGAATGCTTCGGAGACACCGATGGTCGATCATTGACATCTTTCGCACTTCCTCTGCGCGTAGAGGCCACGTCTCTGATAATAAAGCAGTTTGGATCGCACCGCCGCAGTATAAACTCCGCCCTTAACAGACAAACTGACGTCACGTCGGCGCCACAGATGTCAGAGATTGGCAAAAGCTGCCCTGGTCTTTCCGATTCGAGGAGTAATCTCATCTCCACCCAGGTAAACAAATTTATCTACCACGTCGATCACCTCGCCTGCAAGCATGAGATTTGGGTTTGTAGCAGCACTCTACACTTTGCAAGTGTGAAGCGCATGCCAAACCGTGCGGCAGGGTTGTTTAACTTGTTTACAATGAATTCCATTTGGGAAGGGTCTGAAGCAAGGAGAGCAATAATGTCTGCATACTCAATGTCTGTAAGCAAGTTTTCAGAGACAGGCAGATAAGTTTCAAGCTGCACACCAATAACAAAGCTGAAGGTGAGAAAGGGCAGTTTTGTCTTACACCATTGGACGTGATTAACTCGGGCGAAAGCTAACCGTATACTCGTACCGCCCACAGGAGTTCGCATACAGTGGATATATAATGGATATAAATTTCGAAGGGATATCTTTGATCGACAGATTGCCGAAGTTTTTGACTATCGACAGAATTAAAAGCAAATTTCGAATCAACGTGGGACCAACGTGAGACGTCTGAAGAAATGATACTGTTCAAGAATTAGTCTCAGGGTAAAGATATGGTCGATGCATCCTCGACCAGGGCGGAATCCAGCTTGATTCTCACGAATCTGTCTTCCTACAACCCTTCAACCCGCGCAAAATAAAGCCAAGGGGCACGTTAGATGCAACGTATACCAGGCTGATGCCGCACGACGTTCTTGTGTCCTTTTTGAACACTGAGATGACGGTCGAGAAGCTCCATTCGACTGGTATTGTTTTCGTTCCAAATCCTCTGCAGTATGGTTGTCAGACTGTTCACCAGGACCTTGCCACCTTCCTTGAAGTGCTTGAGATGCAGACAATACGGTCCAGGTACCTTATCGCATTTCAGCATTGATACTTCATGCTGGATTTTGGTTGCTGAATGTACCACCAAAACTGGTCACAGCACCAGAGACCCTAGAAGCAGTGGACAGATATACCCATCTAGGAAGCTGAAGCATATCTGATGGTAGCATTGCTGACAAACAGGGAGCTGCAATTACTCGAGCCCGTTATGCATTTCTTCAACTTGGACACCTCTGAGGTTGATGTGCCGTTAGCCTGACAGTGAAAGGTGGAGTCTACAACACGACAGTATTGCGCTTAAATTGTGAAGCCTGACCGCTGCGTATTGAGGACAAGAGGATATTGTTTGTCTTTGGCAATCAGTACTTTGAAAGCATTGCAAATATATCATGGAGATATCAAAGCAACATTGATGAGTGAGTGGTGGTTTTCGGCAACAAATCACCTGCGGGCCTAATTGATGAGTTGATTCAGCTAGACCTTCTACATTGGCTCGGCCACGCGCAACGTATGCAAGGTGGTCGATTGTCCCACCGTGCTGTTTGCAGGAAGATACAAGCAGGACAGCCCACGACCTGGATATGGAGCATGAAGAACATAACGAAGGACATAGGCCGCACTGGTGCATGTCGTCTGTGAGTATGGGGTATCAGAAATCGGAGATTGACATAGCGAATTCAAGCAACCAG